AATCCCAAAGAGGTGAGGATTACTCCTTTTGTGGATGTGGGAATGGAGCCACTGTGGAAAGGGGTCATATGGGGGAAGGAATGACAGAGCCTGAATTCTCAGCCAGTTTTTCTTGATCATGACACTCGCCCTCTTGGCCACTGGGCTTTGTTGCCAGCACTCTGCCTTCCTGATGGCAACTGTCCTGCAGCAGGGTGTCTGCTAATACTTGTCCAGAGAATTTTAAAGTATAGTTTGAAGGCCAATTGCAACAGAATCTCCTGGTGCTCTCATTAAGACTGCAGATTCCCAAGCTTTGCTGCAGATCTCCTGAAGCTGACTCCCTGGGAATGGGACCTGGGAACGTATATTACCAAACTCTGCAGTAAATCTCATGTCTTCTGAAGTTGGACAGCCACTCCCCTAGGGAATGCACAGATCTTACCCTCATTAAATAGACTTCCCCATAAGCATAGGAGATCCAGGGGGTGATGAAAGCGTCCAGCAGGGAGCCAAGAATTATTGTCACTTTCCTGAGGTGCCTATAAAGCCTAGGCACGTGTAGTAGTTTGTGGACGTGAAATTATATGTGCTTTAACATGAAGTAAAACCTAACATTTCAGTTAGCTAAGCCTAGGTTATGCTGCAGTTACAGGCAACCACCAAGTATTATTTAAAACAATAAGGATTTTTTTTTTCATCCTCACACTGTGTGTCCAGTGTTGGCCTACAGGGTGGGGTGTGAGGGGCTGTACTCATCATTTATTATCTCACAGGTTCTGTGGGTGGGGAATTTAGGAGTGACTCAGTTGGATAATTCTGGTGTAGGGTCTCTCCTGAGCTTGCAATCAGGTTATCAGCAGGAGACTCTGTCATCTGAAGGCTTGGCTGGGGCTAGGCTCCAGGGATACCTATAATTTGTATATTTGAATGCTTCATGCATCCCATAATTCTCTCAGTAAATTTTCTGCTTTCTCTCTCTCTCTGTTTTTTTTTTTTTTTTTGTCTCTTCACGTGGATGCTGGCAGGAAGCCTTAGTTCCTTATCACATGGCATCTCCACGGATTGCCTGAGTGTCCCTGTGACATGGTACCAAGTGACCGCCCCCCCAAATAAGGGACCCAAAGAGGGGTGAGCAGGTAGGAAGCTGTGGTCTCTGTCATGACCTAGCATCCAAAGCTCTATACCATAACTTCCATTTTATTCTTTTCACAAAAATCGAGACACCAAGTCCAGCCCACACGCAAGGGGAGAAAAATGAGTTCCCAAATCTTGAAGGGAGATGTACAAAGAACCTGTGGACATTTGAAAACCAGCACAATCTACCCTCTGTCTACAAACTATTTCTATTCTTCCTGCATGCCAAAGATAGTCGTCCCCTCCCAAGGGCACCCAAGATTCATTTCATCACAACATCAGCTTGTACTCCAGAACTTTTTCATTTAAATCAGGAGCTGATGAGGTCCCTTGGGGGTGATTACTTAAATTTAGCTCTTTAAGTATAATTCCTGTCAAGGAGAAAGACTTGAATACACACACTCAAAATGTAATGATGGAATGGGCATAGAATACTTGTTACAGACATTCTCGTTCAAAAATGGGGAAAAATAAGAGGCACAAAGGATCCATTGGCCCATAGGAAGTCTGAAGTACAGCTGGAAAAATGTTAATACTTCTTTGACGAAGACTTGGTTTTATTCCTGATGGGACATAATTCTTCAAGGCTCTGGCCTTGTCCTCTGGAGTCTTGGTTGTGGCCTTTAAGCCATTCTTACTTTTCCATGAAAAGTAGTCCGTTGTAGTCCCCTCCGTCTGTTTTATATCAGAATTTTCGAGGCCGGGAGAGGTCCAAAGAGCTTTTTAAATTTTGTATTGTTACCGTTCAAGCTGGTGGTGTTTCTGCAAATATAATTTTCTTCAAAAGTTTGAGAGTCTCTTCTGAGCTATATTGGATTTGTCCCAAGAAACAGAAGTCATAGCTAGAGATCTCTTTGAGATAAAACCACGGGATTCTGCTGAAATGGTAGCTGAGGGACAACATCCTTCTTTGAGTCTCTGTTGTTTAATTGAGAGTATCTAGGAGGCACACACCGAGTTATTTATTTATTTTTTATTAAATCATAGCTGTGTACATTAATACTATTATGGGGGTACAGTGTGTTGTTTCTATATACAATTTGAAATACTTTCATCCAACTGGTTAACATAGCCTTCTTGTCATTTTCTTAGTTGTGTTAAGACATTTATATTCTACATTTAGAGAGATTCACATGTACCCTTATAGGATGAACCATAGGCGTGATCCCACCAATCACCCTCCCTTCCCCCACCTCCCCCCTCCCTTTCCCCTTTCCCCGTATTCTTAGGCTATAGTTGGGTTATAGCTTTCCTATGAAAGCTATAAATTAGTTTCATAATAGGGTTGAGTACATTGGATACTTTTTCTTCCCTTCTTAAGATACTTTGCTAAGAAGAATATTTTCCAGCTCCATCCATGTAAACACGAAGGAGGTAAAGTCTCCATCTTTCTTTAACACACAGAGTTTTTACAGGGATTTTGGCCTGACTGAATAGTACTGAATAGATACCACCTCAGAGGTCTTAACAAAGGTCTTTCCTGCCAATGTGTTAAGTTTCATCTCCTGACACGTTTTTCTTGGAATGCCCCGAAACTGATCATTGTATGGAATCTATATCTTCACGTAAACCTGGTTGCCATCAGGAGAGGTTGAAAAACTTCCAGCTGATCAAGTTCTGGCAGCTTCATGTTTAATAGCCCTTCTTTGAGCTTATCTGTCTCCTCTCACATTTTACTATAAACAGCAAGAAGAAACCAGGTGGCACCTTTAACACATAGCCCAGAAATCTCCTTAGCTAGATCGGTCCATTAAGTGTGCTTAGTTTTCACATAACTGCACACGAACTCTTTCACCACCGTGTAACAAAAATCCCCTTTCCCTCTGCTTCCCAGTGCTAAGGTTTTCCTCACTTTCCTTGTGTCCTCATCTGCAGCCTCTTCAAGGGTCATCGTGCTTCTATAAGGAGCTGCATCAGAGCCATTTGTTTGCTGCATAACAAATCCCCAGCCCCACTGAAAAGAACTTTGCAGCTTAAAATAACATTTTTATCTCCTTAGGTACTGAGGACCAGGAATCCAGAGGTGGCTCAGCCGGATGGTTCTGGCTTAGGGTTTTCTTGTGAGGTTAGTGATGAGGTTGCCCAGGGCTGGGGGAAATACTCCCAGGAAGGCTCATTCACATGGCTGTGGGCTTGAGGCCTCAGTGCTTCAGGGGCCAGTCGCAGGAGGCCTCCGTTTCTCTTCCTGAAGACTTCTCTATAAGGCTTCAGATGTGTCTTTATAACACAGCAGCTGACTTCTCCCAGAGTAAGCGGCTCAGAGGGAGCAAATAGCAGTGCCTTTTAGGCTTGGGAATGACATAATATAATTTCTTTTTTTTTTTTTTT